AACTCTGTTTCATGTTATATCAACACCCACAGAAGAATTGTGACTCAGTGTCATGTTACATCAAAACTGACAAAAGCATTATAATTTATTGTAATTTCACATCAAAATTAACAGAAGAACTAATAATGGTTGGAGATGGCTTGAATGGGTAATGAAGAAAAACTTTAATATAAGTTTAAGTTAACAGCAAATGTACAACGTTTTGACAAAGTTTTACTGTTATGTTAAACTTATATTAAAGTTTTTCTTCATTACCCATTCAAGCCATCTCCAACCATTATTAGTTCTTCTGTTAATTTTGATGTGAAATTACAATAAATTATAATGCTTTTGTCAGTTTTGATGTAACATGACACTGAGTCACAATTCTTCTGTGGGTGTTGATATAACATGAAACAGAGTTACAATTCATCTTTTTCTTTTTAATATGGTGTTACACAGCTATATAATTTTTTTATTGATTTTGATATGACATGAGATTGAGTTACAATTCTCTTATTTATTTTGATATTGACATGGACAATGATACTGACTTAAATTGATGCAATACTGAGTTGAATTGATATGATACTGACTTAAATTGTATTGATTTTGAAGTGATACTAAATTATAACATGTTGATTTTGGTATGACACTGAGGTATAGTTTTTTATTGATTTTGAAGTGACATAAAGCTATAATTCTTCTGTTACAGAAGATGCTGAAGCAGAAAAATTCAGTAGTAAAGTATATCAGTGATTTTTAATGAGACAAGTAATCACTAGTTAGATATCTTATAAAAACAAACATCTCAAAGTATTATTGCTTCAGCTTGTTATTGTTATTATTTAACATAATAAACTATCTACCTGTGTTGTAATCAGAAAAAGAAACTGAATGTTTTGCCATTTTATGCTTTTTTACTTTGCTATTTCTTTCTCTGCTATCTTTTTTCCAATCAAAGTCAACCAGGAGAAATTCTCTGCCATCAGCTGTGCTTGGCTAGTCTTACATCTGTTCTTCCCAATAAGCTAAACATCTATTTTGTAGACAAGTCTTTGTGATTTACGTACAGGGTTCCTGCTTAAATTTTTTTAGGGAGCTTGCTGGGCCTCCAAAATATGCATTTTTAGGGATCCACAAGCAGTTTTAGCAACCAATCCTGTAATTGAGTAATGGATGTTATGTAAATTGAAAGGAAACTAAACATGGCAACATATCTCAACTTATTTTGTTGTGAACTTGTATTTCATGCAAAAAAACACATCAAACCACTTAAATTATTTTGATTTCATATATGATCTTTAATTTGTCTCTAAAGCATGTTATAACAGTAACTTTTTGTTCCCCTTTAAAGTAGTGTCCTTTAATAATCAAAATAAATCATGAAAAAAAATCTATACATCACTGCTAGTGTATTCTATTCTTGTTCTCACATCCCATTACCATCTAGCTGACACATATTTGTCAATTTACATTACCACTAGCTTTATAGCAATCAGTTTTTTCATATCCTGAAACAGCTGTTAATTATTCATTCATGAATTTTAAGTTTAATAAGCAAAATTCTCAAATTAATAACATATGGAAACATGCAAATAGCTCTAAAATGGCTTGGGTAGTGATGAGTTAAGTTTGTGTCCTTTTCTTATTAAAATAAATAATGAAAAGAAATTAGTATGCATCAGTGATAGTGTACAATGATGTCCCAACATCCATTTCTTGAATTCTTCCTACTTCCTCACTCACCTGCACCTGCTTTTCAATCTGGACCCTGCCAGCATTTGGTCTCCTTGTGCAAAGATCCTGAGTTCCAAAGATGGATAGTTGTTATGGGATCGAAGTCACTTATTGAAGGTGAGTGGAAAATGACCAGAAGCTGATCAGTGATCCTGTCAGCTCCAAAACAAGATTTCAAATTGGTTTTGATCATCATCATCTTGCTGAATCCTCTTTCTGTCTAAGCAGAGCTGACTGATACAAGCAGCAGTAGGTCAAAGATGCTACAGGTGTCCTTAACCCCAGGGATGATACAAGCTCATGGCTGGCCTTTCTTGCTATGCCTGGTGAAATTAAGTAATGAAATAGATATGGAAAATGTATCAGAGAAACCATCATGAGAATTGTATTATTATTACTGTTTTTATATCATTATATTTAGAATTTCCCATTACTTTCCAATAGGAGGTTTTATCAGTTGTTTGAATTGTGCATGTCACTGTTGGAGATGTCACTATAAGTTGAAAGTGGTTAAAATGTACATAGAAATATTTACAAAATAACTAACCTATTTGACAGCTATGGAACATTCCGTTTCATCATTTGACAGTGCTGTTATTTATGAATATGCATAGTTCCAAGAAGTTACCTTAAAGTTAGTTGTGTCTCGACAAACGTGATTACTGATTGGTTGAATTTCATCTGAATGAGAAAAACTAGATATTTTGGTTTTCTCGAGTAGGAAGCAAATGGTTGAAAAACAAGTATCATGATGGTAGGCAATTGTCGTAACCAACTGCTTGTTGCACCAGTAACTAACAGGGGAGGATATACGCCTTTATCGACAATAAAAGTTAATGTTTCATTATTTTAGACAAATGTTAAAAGTGACACAGTCTACACAGTCTAAGTGCTGAGATTTGAAACACCTTCAACGAAAATACATGTGTCGAGCCGGGAGGTGATAAATTTTAAATAATTCAACCAGCATAATGTGAGTCTTCTTTATAATAATGTATTTAAAGTTGTCATTTCTTTTTTTAAGGTTGGAAAGTTGCTCATTATGTATGCAATAAAAATACAATGAGGAGCATTTTTTAATAAGGCCAATTTTAAAAAAATCTTTCACCAACAAATTGGAGATGCTTTTTTATGAATGAAAACTTTCAATGCTGTCACTTTATTTGATCTTTGGTTGGGATACTTCATGTGTTTTTGTTCAAAACGTGTAGAGTGATAGCAAAGTCTTTGAACTTATGATTAAAGTCAATGATGAATTTAGACATTGAACCTCATCAATATGTTTGTCACATAACATTATGCATCAATCATGTACTAGCCACAAGGTCAGTCCCCATTTTTATTTTACACTCATTGAAATAAAAAAAAATGCATCATGATTTTTTTTCATGGCACATTTATTGATAATGTTACAACAACTGAAGTCACACAACGCTGGGAGCAATTGTAATTGACTGAAGCAACATGGGTTGTGAAGATAATTGACCATTGTTTTTGAAAATACTCAATGTTGACTGATGTACAGTGTACATTTCTTTATAAATAGATTTATATGTGACTTCATAGATGTTTTTAATTATTATATTGTTTTTCAGCTTTTAACAAAAATTTTGCTTCAATTTTTTGAAACATATCAAAATGTTTTAGGGAGAATCTCTAATATCAGATCAACAGTTGATGTTTATTATCAAATAAAGCACTTTAATGGTGTGTTGGGTTATATGATTCAATCAATGTTTCTTCTGTGTTCTTTAATACTTTTCATGGTGTTGGAGTAGTCAAGAGATAATAGCAACTCATTCTTTACTTTTAAACCTTGTAATCCACTTTAGACAATAATACATACAAAACAAGTCAAAGTAATAATGAAATATTGTCTTTATAATTAAATTCTTTTTGCCAATTTTCTTGTTTATGTTTTCATCTTTATACATTTTAGAGCAAGTATTTGGTAACCAAAACAACTCCCTTGGCCAAGACTTTACAAGAAGACCCATCCTGTCAACTTGTGCTTGTCCTAAAACGATACCTGAGTCAAGTAAACCTAGATGAGGTGGAAGAAAATTTGTCTCCCTTACACATTCCCCAGTTAAAAGCACTGTTCCATGGACTAATGGCTCTTAGTCGACAATGGAAGAATATCTTGTATGTACCGCTCCTGCTAGAACAGAACATTAGGTTTCGGAAGAGTTTACGACCTATGAGTGTTTCTTTTGCATTTCCTCCTGGTGAAAGAGTAAACATATCCACACAGGATGATGTAGAAAAAACTTCTTTAGAAGAATGTGAAATTTCTGATGAGACTACTAACTTATTAGTAGCAGAAGGTGGTTCTATTCCTCGAGGATTTTCTTCAAAAAATGGTGTGAAAGCAGAATCTTCCAGGGCTGATGCATTGAAAGTGTTTTCCAGTCCAGAATCTGGAACGGACTCTAGCAGCAGCCAACATGATGCTGTAGACCCACAAGATGGTGGCACAGTGACAAAAAGTGGAAAGAAACGGCTCCCAAGTTATGTACCCAGATCTTCAAGGGCTAGTGTTGCCTTCCCTTTACTAGGTGGCCCATTGGATTCTCCAGCACGTTATGCAGGCAATGCTCCTACTGTCAGCAGACTTGGTGGGTTATTCATGCATCCATCCCACATGAAAAGAAATGAAAGTCACCACAGTCTGAAATCTGCCACTTGGAGCTTATCAAGCATGGAACCAAACTTCCCCACATCAACCATTGACACACCCAGAAGAGGCATGATGGAAAAAGAGGAAAATTTTAGTGATGAAGACCTGTATAAATGGATGGCCCGTCAACAAGACTACATGCGAGGAGGCCTGTCTAGCTATCGATATCGATATAATGACCCGAATGATCAAGAATCAAAAATGAATACACTGACATCAGAAAATAGTGGTGATCTTGATACATCATCATTGTTTCCTCAGGTGGCTTTTGCTCCTTTGGGAACACAGTTAGCAGATGCTCATGTGATTTTCCAGGTGCTGTTAGACAAATTAGGAGTTCCAATACAGGCTGGTAGTCCTTCTATATCAAAGTTTGTTGGTCCTAGAGCTTCTATTTCTGGAGGGATTTCTTTGCTTAAAATTGATATTGTGGAATCTGAATATCAGAACAATGCTCGCCACAAAAAGAAGTCACCATTTTCTCATTCTTCTGCATCTCATGGAAAGTTCTTCATTGACACTAGTATGGACACTCCAGCCTTCATCTGTGACAGGTTTTCTGTTGAGATGGACATTAAAGATGTTCGAGATTTTGAACAAGGAGAAAAAGGACCAGAGCAAAATGGCAAAGTAACAGCTCTTGTCTTTACACAGGAAGGATTGCCCAACACAACATGTGTGATCAACTTCAACATTAATGTTAATTATGTTGCTCAGCAGGTAAATATGCCCCTGCTAAGACTACTGCACCAGTTTTCTACGATGTATGAAAACATCAAAGAAACACGATCAGAATTACATGCCATAAGACCTGGTTCTCTGAAAGAGAAAGAAAGTCCAAGAGGTCTTCAAAAAAAGAGTTCTCCATCATCAGATAGCCAAACAGAAACTTTCCATCCACACTCACCACGTGGCACCAGTGTTTCAAAACCTTCCACTCCAACACCAACTCCTACGAAGTCTTCTGCAGTAGGAACCAGTTTTTCTGTAGGCATTAAACGTCCTCATTCCCTATCACAAAGACTAAGAGCTAGCACTAAGGGTTACACCAATCTTCAAGAGCTCACTGTAAAGGATGATAGACCTTCCAGTCCATTGAGCATCACACCCAGTGAATCTGTGGCTATAGACATCCCAGACTCATGCTCAGTTCCTCTTTCAGGACCCAATCTGGTAACTGATATCAAAGAACTTCAGCCCCGCTGCTGGCGGACAATGTTTTACCTACTGGACTTGTATAATACGATGCCTGAAACCAAAACAGTCACTGATAGGTAATCACACCTTCTACTTCAAAAGTATACAACCTGTAATCATTAATATTAAGGATATTATTATTTTTTGTAGTAAGCTAAAATAACTTGGTCTTTTTTTTTATAAGCCTAGATTTCATTACCAATACACCAAGAAATATAAAATTGTGACTCCAGTTTAAAGAGTATGATTTGTCTTGAAAGAAATTTGTTAGAATGATCATTTAGTGCATTTAAAATTAAACCTATACTATAAATCACAATTCAGTACCATTTATACAATGGATTCATAATGGGAAAACAAAGTCTAATGATAAAGATGAAGATGGTTGACAAAACGCAAAACATTTTATTTACAAGGTTTGAATATTTCAGAATACACTTATTCCATCTTTAATGAAATCCCAAAATATTGTTACAAAGAAATTTATTAACTACAACTATAATATTGTAAATCACTAGTTTACTTAGTTATTGAGTAAAGTGGTAAACAAAATTATGCTTCAATTATGCTGAGAAAAGCCACTAGGAGACATTCCGAGCTGTAGACAGAAGTAAGTGTAGATAACATGTCTTTCTGATACATTACTTACCTCCTCTCTCAAGATTAGCTGTTCTCGTCCAGTGTTGTCTCTATATACAAAATTTTCTTCACACATGCCATACGTCCCCCCCTTGTTGAAATTTTCATATTCCAACATGTCTCTCATGCAAATCTTCATGCACCATCTCTTAACCAATTGTAGAATGACATGCTCATGTGATGCATGCGACTCCTTCTATACTTCTCTACCGAAGCTTCACTTCTTGTTTGGCAGTGTTTGGGTTCATGTGTTTTCTTTTCTGTGCTCCCGTGTGACAAGGAAAAAAAATTGTTTTCCAACCAAAATGTTTTTTTTGTTTTTCTAAGAATAACTTTTAATTTCTTTTCTAACAACCAGTTCATTTTGTCCCTATATACTTTCACAACACTTGACCATTTGCATACATTAATTTGAGTTATGAATTCCAAAGTTCACTTAACCACTTCGAGAGTCACACCACTGACCAGTGTTGTTTCTCAGGCCTCAGGTGTGGGCGACTTGATGGTGGATCTTTCTGCTTTCATACATGGGGAGATTGAATTCTTCATGGGACAACCTTTGTTCCCTGACATCACCCAGGCTCCTCCTGAATTGGCGAACATTCTTCAAAATGATGATGATTTTGATCTTCTTTTTCCACCTTCAGAGTTTGCCGTTCCTGCTCACTTGCATCCTGAGGACTAATCTAGGCCTACTTCAATCTTCACTGATTTTGTGTCTCAAGTTTGTGATGTTCTATCCCGTTCCTCTATCTCTTATTCACCTAGCCCTTTTATGTTACTTGAAACCTCTTCTCAACCATTTTTAGTATTTCCTCCCTCCCCAGATATCAGGGTACATGCTGATCAATTTGTCTCACAATTAAGTGAGGGGATCTGCATGCCGTGCTTCCCGAGGACTTCTGATCTGTACACCCTTTCTTACCATCATACTGACTATCCATTTGTGGATCAGCAATTACTGGGTTCATTGTTACTTCTTTGGGGGCAACTCTCAATTCTAATGTTAGTCTCACCCATGCCCATTATTCTCGCCTTTGTCTTACCCTAACCAACCTTCTATGATATCTCTCTATACTTCTTGTCTTGGAGGCTCTTCACAAAAATTCTGAGGGTTTTTCTGCATCTTCTGTCCTCCACATTAGCCCACATTTCATCCTTGGATCCGACATTACTTATGTGTTTTCTTTGTTGTTGGAACCTTATTGGTAGGGATGCTGTATTAGCTTGGGTCAATTTACCCTCAACATATCTATGGGTCTTATATCTTGCTCCTTTTCTAAGACATCATGTCTTTAGTACAGTTCTAGAAACCATCGAGCCTGGGGTTACATTAACCCATCAACAATCCACTCTCATGTCCTTTGTCATCCATTTGTTTCAGTCAAAGCCTGATATGTCACCTATTTCGATTTCCTATCCTTCATTCTCCCAACCCTTACCTATTCCTCCTAATTGGGGTACTTCTTTTCATTGATTTCCTCGATGACATAACATCTGTCACCACCAGTATCAGTAACTACCCTGTAAATTCAGGGTTGGTGGGAGCTTGACTGTTGGAGTTTCTTCCTCACTGGCATCCCTTCGTTGATGATCAATGGGTGATAAGGATTCTCTCAGAAGATTTCATTATCCAGTTTCTTTCACCTCCTCCTGTTTCTCCTTGCCCCATTTCCTTTCCTATTCCTCAAGATCCCATTGCATGCCAGCGTCTGGGGATTGGTGGCTGATTATTGATTTATCTCACCTCAACAGTTTCATTAGCCAATCATACTCACCAACTCCTTTCTATTGTGGCTTGGGTGGGCCAGTTGATCAAATTGGAGAAGTCATTTCTTCAACCCACTTAATATTTCATCCATCTGGAGGTCTTTTTCGACACCAATCTCAGTCGAGCTTTGCTTCTCCTTTACATCTTCGGTCCATGGAACTTTTAGATCCCCATGCCCTCTCATCTCGGTCACTTACTTCTCACGAGGTTCTATTGCTTTTGGGAATGAGGCCCCAAATGACTGCACTTGTCCCTCTCGGTCATGCCAACATTAGATTCCTGCAGTGGGTGATTCACAAATGATGTAACCTTGCTCAGGATTCTCTTTCTTCCTCCTTCTCTGAGAGAAAATCTGCACTAGTGCCTGGACAAAGCTCATACGTCGTGGGGGTACCACATCCTTCCCTGTGTCCAGATCTACATTTGTTCACAGATGCATCCCTTCAAGGTTGGGGAGCATGGATCAATCACCAGGAAGCTTCGAGCCATTGATCTGTGGATGAAACCATCTTGCATATCAATGTTCTCAAACTTCTAGTGGTTCATTGGGCTTTACATCACTTCCTTCTTCTCGCCCATTATTGTCTGTTAATGGTTCATTCGGACAACTCTATGGTGGTGGCACATATCAACCACCAAGGGGCATCCGATCCAGACCTCTGTTTTCGGACGTTAGATCTCTTGTACTGGACCCATGCACATCACATTCGTCTTATCGCATGTCATGTGATGGGTGCTTTCATTCTATTCATGGATCATCTTTTACAACCAGACCGGATTTATACAATGAGATGGGCATTAGATTCTCTCGTTTTCAGGTACCTTTGCCATTGATGTGGTTCTCCTTAATTGGATGATTTTGCCATGGGCCACAACACCAAGTTGCACTTTTTTGTTCACCTGTACTGCAACCTCAGGCTTTGGAGGTTGATGCTTACAGCCAGGATTGGTCACACAAATACCTTCTTTATGCATACCCTCCAATCCAGTTGCTTCATTAGGTGATTCATCTGGTCCACTCCATTCCTTGCTGAGTCCTCCTGAGTTCTGCACCCTTTTGGCCAGCACAACCTTTGTTTCCCAAGTTACAACATCTGCTCATATCACCGCCTTTACTTTTTCCACTATGTCCCTTCTTCATCAACCTCAATCCCATGTTCTACATCTTTCTTCACGCCTGGCTTTTGTCCAGTCCTTGACAAAATGATTAATTTTCACACATTGAGTTGCCTTCTTGTTAGATGGTTCTAATATTTACTTTTAAATTAAGAAATAACTAATGGATAATACTAAAATTTAAATTATAATCTACGATTAGATACCAAATTTATTGATATACATTCATGAAATAGTAGTTCAATAAAATTTTGAATGCAAGTCTACAAATGTGAAGACATGGCTTTTGACCTATGACCATAGGAAGACCTGTATTGATAGGGTTAACCCTATTGCCACGGGTATCTTTTATTACGCATGACACAAGGTTTTAGTGTCTTACATTCAAAATGTTATTAAACTACTTTTTTGTTTACATTATACCAATTAGAATAGCATAAAATCTTATCTAATAATCCATATTTTAATAGTATACAAGTTTTAAGTTCTTAATTCCAAAGGCAATATAAAAAAAAGCCTGAATTTACACTTGTGTGACCCACATGACACATTTTCTCTTAGCATGTCATCACTCCTATTTTTATCCACCACCCCTCAAAAAGTACAAAATTAAACGTAAATTACACTCTATAAAATTGTTATTGTTGAGACAAACCATAATTTTTACAGTCTTAACAATAACAATTTTATAGAGTGTAATTTACTATTCGATAGCTCTGTAACCAAACAAAATTGAAGACTGTAAAAATTATGGTTTGTCTCAACAATAACAATTTTATAGAGTGTAATTTACTATTC